AGATTTTCAATGTTCATCCATTTTCTTAAAGCATGCTTCAGTACTTTACTCCTTGCTTCCAGATAACATTCCACTGGCTGGATATGCCATATTTTATGCATCCATTCATCAATTGATGGACTTTTGGGCTGCTTCATTTTTTGGCTTTTTGAGTAATGCTGCTATGAGCACTTGTGTAACAGTTTGTGAATGGGCATCTGCTTTCACTTCCTCTGATAGACACCTAAGAAGTGGAGCTAATACAATAAGCAGTCACTCTGTGGGGGAACAGCAAAACTTCTCCAAAGCAGCTGTGTCGCTTCACACTCCCACAGTGAAGTTCAAGGGCTCAGCCTTGTCTACACTGTACTCACCAACCTTGGTAACAACTGTCTTTGTGGGGCTGGGGGTTTAGCTCAGCAGCATGTCTGCCTGGCAAGCTTGAGGTTGTGAGTTCAATTCCTGGTACCAAACAAAACAAAACAACAAAAAAAGAGCTGTCTTTGTGATTACAGCATCCTGATGAGCATAAAGTGGTACCTCATTGTCATTCTATAAATTTTAACTTGTATTTATTTCCCTGAAGGTTAACCATATTAAATATCCTTTAATGGGCTTATGGATCATTTTATTTACTGAAGTATTTCTTCAAACATTGTCCCATTAAACTGAATTGTTTGCACTTATAAATACAACTTTATATATTCTGGATACAACTTCTTTTTTTGTTCCATTTTGACTTTTGATTTTTGAGATAGGCTCACTGTGTAGTCCGGGCTGGCCTCAAACTCTCTATGTAGGCTTGAACTTTGCAACGATCCTCCTGCCTCAAAATCCCAAGTGCTGGGATTACAGGCATGTGTGACCATGCCTGGTTATAAGTTTTATTGAATATATGCTTTGCACAATTTTTCCAGGATCTAGACTTTAGATTCATTTTTCCCCCAAAGATATCTAATTTCTCCAGCTGTTTGCTGAGAAAACTATCCTATAAAATTACTTAACATTTTCATTTAAAAGTCAATTAATTATTTATATGATTTTTGGACTTTTATTCCATTCTATTGACTTACACATTTATCTTTATGTCAACTCTACACTATTTAGAGTCCCACAGTTTTTTTAATGAGTATGAAACATAGTCTAAGCCCAATAAATGTTTTAGTCCTTTCAAAACTGTTTTGGCTATCTACTAGACTGCGTGGCTATTTTAGGACCAATTTACAATTTCTATAGAAAATCCTAGTGGATTTTGATAAAGAAGTGATCAAATAGGGCTGGGGGTGTAGTTCATTCTTTTTTTTTTTTTCTTTTTGGTACCAGGGATCGAACTATCGACCTCACACTTGCAAGGCAGGCACTTATGCAGCTGAGCTAATTCCCTGGCCCTAGGGGTATAGTTCAAAGTTTGAATGCCAGTGCAGTACGTGTGAGGCCTTGGGTTTGGTTCCCAGCACTTGTGCACACACACACAAATTTTAAAAAAACACAGATTAGTTTGGATAGAATTGCCATGTTACTGCCATAACCTATTTTTGCTAATTATATTCATATTTGTTTCTCAGTGCTGCTACACTATAACTGCCACCTTAATTTCCAGAATGTTAATTGCTAAGTCCCTTTGTGTTGAGCTGATACCCAATATGGTGAACTCATCAATGAACTAGATAAATCTGAGCTAAAAGAAAATCAGCTACCTGCTCGTGAAAATAAAGCTAAACTGCAAATGCCAAGAACATTCTCAGGGCGTTTAGGCTTTTATTAATGAAGGCAGAAAACTGGTCTCTCCTACGGCTGCAGCTTGGAGCACCTGTCCCCCAAAGGTCTGTGGGTTAAAGGGTGGGCTCCTATTTGTGGTGGCTTTGGGAGGTGGTGAAACCTTAAAATATAAACAGATCACTCACGCTTCTGCTTCAAATCTTCCCAAAGCTGCTTACCATGAAATACAAACTCCTGTCAGTGAGGCTGAACCCTTTGGAAACAGACTGCCCAAATTACAAAACCCACTATTTATTGCAAAATACCAACACTGCAATTAAACGTCAATACTGAGGTTTTAGTTGAGAAACAACTCATACATTAACATCTTAAAAGAAAAACAGAGCTTTCAATGTTATGGACAGCTTCTGATTGAAAATTGTATTCAATTTTCAAGGTAAAATTTTGCATTTGGCATGTTTTTGCACAAGTAATGTGATTTTTGCTGTTGTGTGCCCGCTGACAACTGCCATGCCTTGGCAGGGGTGGTTTGGCTCTGAGCCGACAGAGAGGGTATGCCCTCACTGTCCTTCATGATGCAGTCTCTGCCTCCTTTTCTGTGCTTCTCATCCCTATGGATCCTCCTGCGTAACTGATTCTCTCAGCTATAGTACGGTTCCAGTCGGCTCTGCCACCAGAAGGGATCGCTCTAGAGAAACCGGAAGCAGGGACCCCAGGTGGCGGAGTGGGTTTCAGTCTTCCAGGTGGGTGAAGTCCCACATCGAGCCTCACAGAGGTCCCTGCAGCCAGGCAGGGCCCTACCCTGCGCAGATCTGAGGGGCATCTGCACAAGGTCTCACCTCCGGCCTCTTCCCTGCACATGGGGTGGCTGTCAGCTTTCACCACATAATTCCAACATAACCCTCCCCTGTTCAGCCCCCAAATAATGGCAGAACCAATTCCTAAATTAAATTCCCTCTGTTGAGACATCAAACCTAGTGGCACAGTCTCTTACTGCCTACACTCCAACTACACTCAACTTTTTTTTGAGACATGGTCTCACTATGCAGTTCAGACTGGTCTCGAACTCACTTTGTGTAGCCCAGACTGACCTCAAACATGTGGCGATCCTCCTGATTCAGCTTCCTGAGTGCTAGAATTACAGGTGAGCACCACCCTGCCCAGAACTAAACATTTTTGTTCCCTGAGCACCAAGCTTATTTCCAGCTCAGTCTTGGCAACTTCACCAGAACCTTTTTCCTCAAGTCCCTCACTGGCTGCATCTTCCTGGTCACTTAGGTCCCTGTCCAGCTGTTATCTCCCACTCACCCTATTTTAAAAACTACCTCCTACCCAGGCTTCATTCTTATACCCTGTTTCACTTTCATCCCACTAAATGTGACTCTCCTTATTATATTATTTGTTGAAATGTTTACTGCCTGTCTCATTTACCCCAGCATAGCTCCAGGGGGGAGGAATGTGTGTGCCTTACCCACCGTCCTTCTGTAGTCAGCAGTGGACACAGAAAAGATGCTGCCGAGAGAATAAATGGGCAGGGGAAACCATGTAACCAAGTGCACAAGAGATGAAATAAGTACTGTGTTATACAAAAAGCTTACTGTAGCTTCATAAAGAACAGGAGACAAGACCTGTGGTATATACCTGAAACTCCAGCTACTCAGGAGGCTGAGACAGGAGGATTGCAAATTCAAAGCCAGTATGAGGAATTTACTGAGAATTTGTCTCAAAACAAGTAAGATCTGGGGCTGGGTGTTGCAGCGCAGGTTTGGGAGGCTGTGACAGGAGGATCACTAAAGTTTAAGGCCGACCTGGGTCACATAGTGAGTCCCAACCCAGTCTGAACTACATAGCAGGACCCTGTCTGAAAAAACAAAACAGCTCAGTGGTAGAGTGCTTACCTAGCATGCTTGAGCCCCTGGGCTCCATTCCCAGTACTATATTACAAAAAAAAGAAAAGAAAAGCCAAAAGACATGCACAAAAGCCCAGATAAAACATAAATATTAACAAGTAAAATACAACTGTACCAGAAACTCTTTTAAATGCTAAACTGAACAGCTTTATCTTGTAACCACTAAAGATTTGCTAGCTGAAGGAGAGGACAAGAAAGATGTTAGGAACTAGAACAAGAGTAGGGACAGGAGATAATAATAAAATATATTTTAGAAATATTCCCTCACCAGGAGCGACAGCATATGCCTGTTATCCCAGCACTCTGGAAGGCTGAGGCAGAAAGACTGCAAGTTTGAACCCAGCCTGGACAACGCAGCAAGCTGCTGTTTCAAAACAAAAACATTTTTAAAGCCTGGCAATGGGGCTCAGTGTGAAGGCCACAGGTTCAATCCCCAGTGCTGGGAAAAAAGAAAAGTTCATCCAGTAATATAGGAGACTGAGGTAAGACACTTAAAAGTAGAAAAGCTGAAAATGAGACTCAAAACTCCAGATTAGAGATCCTAAGATGTGGCAGTGCGACCAAAAAGAACTCTTTCTAAAGATATTTCAAGAAAGATTCAACAGGGTTGCTATCTCATTTTGAAGGATGAAAGATACAATAACATCAAAGTTGCAAGAAAACCAAGTTGGCGGGGGGGGGGGCGGTTCTAGAAAGACACTAGAATTCAAAGGAGGAAATATTTCTCTTTTGATTGCTTTTTACTTTAGAATTTAGAGCATCATTTAATTCTCCCGAAACATATGATGTTACTAGCAATGGCTTTTAAATGTAGAAAAGCTGAATTCTCAGATTTAATTTACACTTTAGACCCTCCCTCTGCTTACTTCTCAAAAGATTTAAAGTACAAATGGCTGCCAGGGACCGTGGTGCACCCTTATAATCCCAGGGCTCAAACGCTTATAATCCCAGGGCTCAAAGGCTGAGGCAGGAGGTTTGCCCCGAGTTCAAGGCCAGCCTGAGCTACACAGTGAGACCCTTTCTCAATCAATTGTTCAAGCACACAAGGTTCAGTGAGAAGGTAGAGGCTGAGGAATGAAAAGGGACATGTCAGGTTTCCAATGACAACAGTCAAAAGCAAAATTCTATTTATTTATTTAGGTCTTTCTGAGATGGAGTCTTGCTATGCAGTTCAGGCTGGCCTTGAGCTCACTTTGTAGCCTCGGTTGGTCTTGAACTCGCAACAAGGCTCCTGCCTCAGCCTACCAAGGGCTGGGATTACAGACGTGAGGCACCACGCCCCAGCTCCAAAATTCTTAACTAAAAATTGAAAATAATTTTTACAAATAAGTAACTTTGGGTAAATCATACAAAACATTCCTTTTGCAGTGTAAGCGTCTCCACAGTTTTCACCTGTGCAGCAGAGGTTTTGGCCACTTGGATGATTTTCTCCATAGAGAGGTAGCTCTGCTGGGAGGGGGCGGGGCCGATGCAGTAGGCTTCATCTGCCTGTTGGAGAAACATTACACACTCAAAAGATGACACAGTGTGTTTCCAGGTCACTTCATTCCTATAGACAGAAATGCTGGTCTCCAAGGACACGGTAAAAACTGAGAAGCAGAAATACTAGCTCTTGTTTATTTATTTATTTTTGTCTTTTTGAGACAGGGTATCACTACGCAGTGCAGGCTGGCCTTGAGCTCACTACGTTGTCTAGGCTGGCCTCAAACTCACTTCCATCCTCCTGGGTCAGTGTTGGGATTCCAGGCATGTAATGTCATCCCCAGCTGAGGAGGTACAATATGTCGCGCCTACAATTTAAAGGAGGAAAGGTTTCTTTTGGTTCATGGCTTCAAAGTCCCAGTCCATGGCTGACAAGCTCACACATAGAGACTGCATGGTAGGAGGGTCTGAGCCAGGAGAGCTGCCCGCTAAATGGTGGGCAGGAAGCAGAGCCAGCAGAAGGATGCTTGGGAGGCAGATCTGCCCTGCTAGGTCATCCCATAGCCCACCCCAGGAAACCGGTGAGAGGGCATCTGTGGGCAAATCCGCTGCCCACCCAGTCCCTTGCCTTCCAAAAGCCCTGGCCCTGAACAGAGGCTTGAGGGAACATTCTAGATCTAAAGCCTAACCAGCCAGATAACTGCAGGGCAGAGTTCACAGGAAGGGCCTTGGTGGGGGCAGGGCAGGGTGCAAAGCTTTGGATTTTCTCTTAAGGGAATATCTCCTAAGGAGATAAGGGTGAAGTGTTTTTTTTTACTTTTATGTTCAGAAAACACAAATTCATTCACATTTTTCACATTTTAAAGAATGTGCCAGGCATGGTGGTGCACACCAGTGATCCCAGCACTAGGGAGGCTGAGGCAGGAGGACTGCTGTGAGTTTGAGGCCAGCCTGGAGTACATAGCAAACTTTTGTCTTTAAAAAAAAAAAGAAAAAGAGTGTGGGCAGTTATACAAAGGCAAAGCAGCCCTTTGACACCCTTACCCCCACTGCAGTCCCCTTCTAGGCATAACTTTCATGATGACCAAGGTGGGACATATGTTTTCATATTTGTACTCCTATTTATTCATATACATTATGGAAATGTTTTCATCTTCCTTTCGCACACGTAGAGTCACTATAAATTATCTTCTGGTTGCTCTGCTCTCTAGAAGCATGTTTTGGGAGCTGCTTCCTTGCCAGCACATGTACACCAGCCTCACTGTGGGCAATGCTTTTATAATATTCCCACTTGGAGGTAGCAGGATTCATTTAATCATGAACCTCTTCACATGCACTGAGGTTGCAATGAAAAAAAAACTGGATGTGGGAGGGTTGAGGCAGACATTCTCGTACACATTTCTATTTGCACACATATGTGAGCCCAGCTCCAGGACAGTTTGCAGTGCTGGGCTGAAGGATATGCACATTTTAATGCTCCAAAAATAGCTTTACCAACATACATGTTCATCAGCATACCAATTTCTTTGTTTGTTTGTTCATTTGTTTGGTTTGTTTCTTTCAGACAGGATCTCACTATATAGTACAGGCTGGTCTTAAACTTGATTATGTAACCCAGGTTGGCCTGAACCCATGATGATCCTCCTGCCTCAGCCTCCCAAATGCTGGGATCACAGTTGTGCACCACCACACGTGGCTCAGCATACCAATTTCTAACCACCTTCATCCATGCTAAGTATTAACTGCCTTTTAAATTATTCCTAAGCTGGCAGTTCACACAAGGTATTTAAAGTAGGGGAAAAATACAACCATATTTTTAGTTTAAATTTTCAGTATGGCCAAGATGCAGAGAATGGATCATGGGAGAAAGCTCAAGAGTGGAAACCAGGAAACCACTTAGGAGCTACAGCTCCAGGAAAGACATGACAGTGGTCTGACTCAAGGTATATATGAGAACGCAGAAAGAAACGGGAAGGAACACCAGGAAGCAGAATCGCCAGGATGTGGTGATTTTCCAGATGGTCATTTCTGGATTGGATCTTTAAATGTTGGGGGAGTCTGATTTTTTTAGTTCTTTATATTATCTAGATGTTACTCTGTTGTCTAAGGAACAGCTAAAATGTTCTCCCACGCTGCAGGTTGTCTCTTCTCTCTGCTGGTGGTTTCTCTTGCTGTGCAAAAGTTTTTTAATAAGATGAGATCCCAGTTGTTGATTCTTTGTGATATTTCCTATGTGATGAGGGTTTTGTTCACATTTGCCTACCCCAACGTCTTCAAGACTTCTACCTAGTTATCTTCTAGCGGATTTAGGGTTTCTGTTTTAATATTTAAATCTTAGATCCATTTCAACTTTAGTTTAGTGCATGCTGAAAGACATGGGTCTAGTTTTAATCTTTGGCATGTGGTAAGTCAGCTTAGCAACACCATTTATTAAACAGGTTATTATTGGTCCTCCTAGAGGAGCTTGTCAGCTGGCTTTCCTGATATGAATCCGGCCGTTATCATCAGAGGAGCTAGGGACCTTGTCACTGAGGATGGCTGTGGTACTTTTCAGGAGAGACCTGGTTCTTACTTTAAGCATTACTTTTTTGGCTCCACTGCAGAACCCTCAGCCTACTGGCACTGCTCTTTCACCCTGCTGGCACAGACTTTCTAGCTTCCACCATTAATCTTTGGGCATTCCCAGCACAGATGTGTAAAACAGACTTGATGAGTCACTGTCATGGGTTGTAGGCCTCCAGCTGGACCCCGTGTGAGGCACTGTCATGGACTCTAGGTCTTCAGCTGGACTCATGCAGGACATTGCTGTGGAATCCAGGGCCTTGTCTTGAGTTTCTAGGTTTTCAGCATTGTGGACAGATTTCCTGCACTTTCTTGTATTTAACTTAGGGTGACCCTCATAAAATAATCCCATAAATTCTGTGTCCCGCTGTAATTGTTCCCTTCGCAGCCCCTGACTACAGCGCCTGCCTCTTGCATTTTTCATTGATTCTGGTCAATCTTTTGTTTTTCATCTTTGGATTGGTTTTATGTGAACCTTTGCTATTTTTAGAAACCTTTCTTTTCATGATCAATAATCAGAATCTTCTCTTCTAGGTCTGATACTCGGCCTTAGAATGGCTCATTCTACTGTGTTTCCTTTCAATGGAATTTTTAATCTCCTAGGGAGCTGTTTGAATCTGTTTGATGGATCTTATTTCTCTCCAATATTGGGAGTTTACTGTTTCCATCATTTTCTTAAAGCTCCTCTATTTTTTTTTCATTTGTATCTTCTCTAGAGACATTAAGAATATCTCTCATATGGTCACCATCTCTGTAGTTGTGAGAGTTATTTCTGATTTGATTTTTTTCTAGAGCCTCATTTATCTGCCTCTACTTCTGCTCACCACTTGAGAGAGAACTGGTACCTAGCTTTCAAATTGTCCCCTGCATTTGCTTCTGGTGAGCTGGAATTCTGGGGTTGTATTTTGCTTAAGTGTTGTTTTACTTTTTACTCCTCGCTGAGTAGTAAAAATACCTGATGCCCAAAGTTAGGGAAGGAAAGTTTATTTCTTACAGTTTTTGGAGGTTTCAGTCCATACTCAGTTGGCTCCAAGGCAGGGTGGCATGGAAGGGCTGCTGTTCATGGTGGCTGCAAACAGCAAGGCCGAAACAGGCAAGAGAGAGACACACACACACATACCTTCTTCCCACCATTACATCACATCCTGGCTCCACCCCTAGGTGGGTGGAGCACTCACAGCACCAATCTGAGCGCTAGACAGTGAACCAATCACAAACACATAACTGCATGAGGCTGGGGGGCCACTGACAAAAACCATGACAAGTGTCTTTTAATTTTCTGGGTTTTGTTTTGTTTTAGTTTAATTATTTGGCTGATGGTTATAAATTGCCTCTGGTGAGTCACTTTATTGCTAGTATTTAGAACCCTTGAGAAATGACTACTTCTCAGAGGTGTCCTTGAGGTGTGGCTGGCTTTTGGGTTTTGAGTCTGTTGCAAGATCTTCTCTCTTCAATTTATTGAGGATGAGAAGGTGCCACCTATTTGGCCCAATCCCTAGTTGTTTGGCACCACAGGATAGTATTGTTTAAGACCCTCATTCTGGCATACCAGGACAAACAACTGATTAGGACAGTTATGTCACTTTGGATAAAGGAGTACAATCAAAGCCAGGCGTGGTGGCTCACGCCTGTAATCCCAGCACTCTGGAGGCTGAGGCAGGAGGATCCTTGTGAGTTTGAGACCAACCTGGGCTACAAAGTGAGCTCAAGGCCAGCCTGAACTGCACAGGGAGACCCTGTCTCAAAAAGACAAAAAAAAAAAGTAGTCCAATCAGCAACAACCATAGTGTCAAACACAGCCTAGAAAATGATAACCTGCGGTAAGTAACTACTACTTTTCTACCTTTAATCACACAAACTAGATTTGTAGTTATATAATAAAATGTAAAACAAACCAGAAAATTGTATAAACCTTACCCTCAGGGGTTAGGAGAAAAAAACTGAGAAACAGAAAAAGAGGAAGAGATTAGAAGCGAGCCTGTAAGACAAAGGAAGAGAGAACTTGAACTGTGGGAAACTGGTAAAGAAGACAGGAGGGAAAGAAAGGAGAAATAAAAACAGGAACAGAACAGAACAACAAGAAAACTAGAAACAATGTTCACACATATGAAAATACGAACAAACAATCAAGAAAAGCAAATCAAAAAAATAAAAAGAGGGGAAGAAAAGAAGAAAGAACTTCAGGGAGTGTCTCCCAGCTGCCACAGGAAGATAGCGAGGGAAGACAGAGCCCAGAGGGACGGTGATTAACCCCCGCAAGCCAGGTGTATGTAGATCTACGGCGGGTTCATGGATAATCCCAGCAGGCCTGCACCTTTAGTTCCACTGACACCCAGGCTGGTGTTTGGCTGTGAGGCTGGAACCTGATTTGTTCACCCTGCAAAACTCCATGTGCCTCCTGATGGCTTGTATTTGGCTCCTTGACCTCCTCTTGCCAATCTGAACTCAGTTCTGCCTCACTCCGACACTGGGAACTGTCTTGGGGAGCCAGCCCGCGGCTGCTCTGAGTTCCAAGCTCAGCTGGCCTCTGTCCTCGATGGTTATCAGCCAACTTCCCTCTCCTGAGGGACATCTGAATCTAATCAACTTACCAGCCATTGGGACCTGCTGCACCCACTGCTCCATAACTCCGTGAGGGCCTCTGGGCTCACCGGTAGCCACCATGAGTCTGCAGGTTCAAGCCACCCCTCCCCAAGTACGTCAGGGCTCAGAGAGAAACCGCCGCTTGCTGCACTGAAGAAATGTCCTTCTTCTGCATTGCAGTCTCTCTCTTCATTCTCCCTGTGGGCTTCAGTTCTTACTTCAGATCCTCCTTCTTGTTCTCATGCTGCTATATTCCAGCATTTAAATACCAAATCTCAGAGAGCCTGTTCACTGCTGTTTAGCACTCTACCATCTTCTCAGAAGTCCTAAAAAAATTCATTCTTTTTTCTTTTTCTTTTTTTTTTTTTTTTTTTTTTTTTTGTAGTACTGCAGATTGATTTCAGGGGCACTCTATCACTTTCGTACATCTCTAGCCAATTAAAAGCAATCTTTTTTGGCCTTAATCCCAGCACACAGGAGGCTGACACAGGAGAATCATGAGTTTGATGCCAGCACAAGCCACATACGGAATTTGACGCTATCCTGGAATACACAGGGAGATTTTGTCTTGAAAAATAAATAAATATATACATACATACATATTAAATTAAATTTTGACCCTCTCACTACGTTACTAAATTTCCCGGGCTGGCCTTATGATTAGACTTGTGATTCTCCTGCCTCAGCCTCCTTAGTAGTTGAGATTATGGGTGTATTCCATTATGCATGGCATTTTTTCCCTGTGCAGGAACATATAATGACTTGTGTAAGACCATGTGGGCAATAAGTGCTACCTGCTGAGAAGAGGGCCTTTCTCCTTGTGTATCAGAGACCTGGACACGTGCTGCCCAAATTAGGGTCCGCAGATAAACCGTGTTCTGTGAGCTGTTTTAATCTGTTCTTGATGAGACAAGAACTTGCCCAGAAAACAACCATCTAGTTCAACTGCTTCAAAACTGTTTCCAAGAATTATTAATGAGCAATTTGAATTTTCATACTTAACCCCTGTTATACTAGAAAATAATAAAGAATATAAATACATGAAGAAAAAGAAAGAAAGAACTAAAACTGACATAATAAACAAATAAAAGGGATCATTTACAAGGCATGGCTCCCAACGTAACAACATACCATATTCACATGCCTGGCATTCCGGTCGGCCTCACTGTAGACAGCCACGGTCTGCACACCCATTTTCTTGGCTGTCCGCATCACCCTGCAGGCAATTTCTCCTCTGTTTGCAACGAGGACCTTGGTAATGTTTCTTCCTGTTGGAAATACCACGAAGATCATACAGAAATGTTACTGAAGAAAAAGAAGAGTGAATGAGACTATGTTGGTAACTAGGTGAGGAGGATGTGTTTTGTTAAAGTCAGCATAAGGGGGCCTAAAGTCATCACTTTAAGTAGTATTTGACCATGCAGGTCTTTCCATGAAATCCAAGATACTTCTATTTGTATAGATGCTTAAGAAACAAAGGAGCTAGCAGTGACTCCTTTCCCTTCCTTCACCTGTGACCACAACACCGCCCTGATGATTAGCCAGGCTTCATTTAGGTAATGCAGATTGACACCAGTAAGACAGACAGTGGGAGGCACCTTGGGTCAAAGGTGTCTAACCCTATACACACTGGAAGCCTGAGTTATCAAGTTCCTTTTTTGCCCTCCCTGTTCCTGCTACCATCCCACGATCTTTTCTTTCTTTCTTTCTTTCTTTCTTTCTTTCTTTCTTTCTTTCTTTCTTTCTTTCTTTCTGGGGGGTTCACTGGGAATTGAACTTAGGACCTCACACTTGCCAGGCAGATGCTGTGCCACTTAGCTATGTCCCCAGCCCATCTTTAATAACTGTAGCTATTTACTACATACTATGAGGTGTGCGCTTGGTAATTCTTTCCTTCTCCTACACAACTATTTTTGACCCACTTGGCTATAACAATATCAGTCCTACAGGGTACAGTACAGTCTTCCTGCTTCTCCTTGCAGAATTGATTTCAGGGCTCCCTGTGCATACAAAGCTCTCTGTACTCTTAAGTCCCTTACATAAAATGGGTAGTATTTCTATATAACCTACACGTATCCTGTACCTCTAGATTACTTATCCTAGCCTAACAGAATACTATTTAAACAGCTGTTATACTGTATTGTTTAGGAAATGATCTCAAGAAAAAAAGTGTGTACATGTTCAGTGCAGATCATTTATTTTTTGTGAATATACATTATCTGTTACACATTATTTTAAAGAAGAAACTAAGGCTGAAAGATATAGGACATTCTTGAGATTATAAAAGAAGTGGCGAATCCAGAATTTGAGCCCAGATCTGCCTCACTCCAGAATCTGCACTCTCGGTTACTCTGTCTCCCTGCACGTGGGACCATCGGGGTTCTTGTCCACGGATTACAGGGGCTACCAGGATGAAGTGTGTGTGTGTGTGTTTTACTTTTTATTTTTTTCAGGATGAAACATCTGTAAGCATGTTTAGAAGGTAAGTATAGGGTTATCGCCAATCAATCAGAATATAAACTTCTACTACATTCCATAAGTTTTATAGCAGAGAAATTCCTAACATTTTATTTGAAAAGAATTTTCCTTTACCTAAAATAATTCTTTCAAAAGCACTAATTTAGACCATTGTAGTGATGCTTTTCCAATCTGATATACTGAAGAGACTAAAATAACAACATGAATATAGAAGTCTCCATCCCTACCTCCTGTATTTTAGGCCTAACAGCAGAGGAGATTTGATATGAAACAAGTGAAAACCTGAGTTTGTAATTAGTAAGAAAATTATCATAAAAATCCAAAACTTAAAAGGTTTGTGGGAACAAATTCTGTTATGCACAAATTACAAATTAAACATTTCTCTTTCTTGGTTAAAAATCTGAAGCCAAGTCAAATACAACAATAAAGTGTGTCAGTACCTGTGGCTGTTGCATATTTCATGTTTCTTTGGTTCCAAATCCATTTTCTACAAAACAAATCCAAATGGAATTATAATTAATCAGAATATACATGATCAGTCACTGTTGTTTTGAAAGAATCCAAATTTTTAGAAACATGAAACCAAGTTCATATATAATCTAAATTAAACCAGCTGGGGATGGTGGCACACACTTGTAATCTGAGCAATTGGGAGGCTACAGCAGGAAGATCGCCATGTGTTGAAGGCCAGCTGGGACTATACGTGAGTTTAAGACCAGCAAGATTCTGTCTCAAAAAGAAAGAAAGAAGAAAAAGGAAAAACCCTATGCCCTCTAACAAAGTGACTTAACAACCCTTCTCTTTATAGAACAAAAACTAATCGAAAAATCAGGAGTTAGATTTCTGGCTGTTTCCCCTTGCACTGCAAGTTCTAGACTGTTTGTACCTGATCCTGACATTAAACCAGAGTTAGAGACAATTAAAAAGCCAGAGTACTTCAAGGTCATCTACTTGGGCTTTCTTCAAACATTTTGACTATTATAGTAAAAACTACGTGGTACACACACAATTAGGTTTCACAAAAGAGGATTCACCCTGGGTTTTGTAGTTTCTATTTTATTAAATAGCATGTGCTAGTCAAACGAGCTTGAACAATATTAATCAAATTCAATCCTCTGATAATGCTCAGAACAGAGAAGTAAATGAAAGGGAAGTGACCAAAGACAGCAGACAGATCACTGCTTGTGGGGCCACAAGAGCTGAGCTCTCATCTGAGGCCCTCCAAGGTCAAGTTAGTTTACACCAGCGTTTCTCACCCCCTCCATAATTATATAATGAGAAGACATATACTAAGGAATAAGACTTTATAGAAGGAGTAAGCTTTATGGGACCACAAACCATAAGGCCTAAGATATATTTATTTTCCAAAAAACCAATTTCAGCCCTTGACAACATCCTGGTCGGTATGCATGCTGTACACCCTGGATTCCATGGCCTCACTTGGGACAGAAGGTGGTAAGAAGTGATCCTCAAGATGCTTCTCAGTTTTAGAAATATATCATTCTACCCCAAATCCTTATATAAGAAACAGGGAGGCAAAACAACTTGCCTGAGGCATCAAGGCTAACAGACAGTAGACAGAAAACCATGAAGGTCTACAACAATTTTTAAGTTCTATGATACCGTCCCACTGATTCAGTAAGTTAACACTGAAACATTAACCAAGAGCTGACAAAATGCAGGCCAGATTCACTTTGAGAATAAAAAAACATAATACCTAGTGGTTTTCAGCTTGAGAGAATATGCTAGAAAACCAAAGAATTACAAAAGTAAACCCACCTTTGTCTTTTCCATCTCTATGTGGAAAATGTGGTAAAATCATGGTTATAAGGACTAATCATGGTTATAAAGGACATGATAAAAAAAAGCACAATGTATCTTACCATGTACTAAACTAAAATTGAAATGGGTGATCAAAGATCTAAATGTTAAAACAGAAACACAATCTGCTGGAAGATAAAATAGGTAAAACTCTTGAAGACACAGGCGTAGGAAAGAATTTTCTGTACAGAACCCCAACTGCACAAGAAATAACATCAAGAATCAACAAATGCAAGAAGCCAGTTTGCCCTTCCAGTAAGCCATGCAAACCATGTGGGGCCCAGGAAGAGAGAAGCCAGTTCGCCCTGCCCAGGAGCCAACCGGCAGGCAGGTCAAGAATCAAGAACACTTCCCCCCGTCCCCAAAGCAACCAGCGCGTTCAGAGGACAGGTTGAGCTGATAGCAACTGACGCACAAAGACAACTAAATGCTTGTACTGTTTGATTGACTTTGCAGGCATATGGCCAGTAGTTTGAGCCTCCACTAGGAGAGTAACAGCATGCAATATAGCAAATAAGGCGCATTTCTTTGTGGGTTTTTTTTTTTTTTTTTTTTTTTTTTTTTGGTCTTTTTGAGACAGCGTCTCTCTATGCAGTTCAGGCTGGCCTTGAGCTCACTTTGTAGCCCAGGCTGGTTTCAAACTCACAAGGATCCTCCTGCCTCAGCCTCCTGAGTGCTGGGATTACAGGTGTGAGCCACCATGCCCGACCTGTCTTGTTTTTGAAATCAAATATTGATCTGCTTTGTTTTGTTCTGATTTATTATTTTGTTTTATTCAATGTTGTGTCTTGATTGGTTTTATTGTTTCATTTGATTTTAGTATGTCTGATGGAATAGACTACAATTGTGAAGATAACAAGATACATTATAGTAGCCATTGCTGATTCCTATTATCCTGCTTCAAAATACTGTACTACTTTCACTACTTTGTTTAGATTGGCTTTACCCTGTTTTGTTTTGTTGAGTTTTATCCTTTTAAAATTAAAATAAACATAATCAATAAGTGGAATCACATTAAGTTTTTTTTAAAAACACAACTAAGGAAACAACCACTAGAGTGAAGAGAGCCTACAGAATGGGAAATATATATATATATATTTTTTTTGCTGGCTATTCCTTAGAGAACTAATACCTACAGAATATATAACAAACTAAAAAAAATTAGATCCCTCCAAATTATAATACTCAACTATAACCCTGTATCCCAACAATGTGCTAACTGGTTGATTTCATTTTTCACAATTATCTAAACTACAACCAAAGAAGTGACTTACAAAATTAAGAAATTACATTAGTCAGGCATGGTGGTGCACTCCTGAAATCCCAAAACTTGGGAGGCTGAGGCAGGACTGCAGCAAGTTTGAAACCAGTTTGGGCTACAAAATGAGCCCAGGGCCAGTATGAATTGCATAGTGAGACCCTATCTCAAAAAGACAAAAAAAATTTAAGAAATTGCTTTCATGGGCTAATTACACTCTGATTCAAGACAGTTTCTATTGTCATGCCTACACTCCCAAACTGGAGACTGTCTTTAAGTTATTAGAGAATCACTGCATAAAAAGAAATGTAAAACACCCATACTGGCCAGGCATAGTGTTGATGCTTGTAATCCCAGCACTTGGGAGGCTGAGGCAGGAATATCATTATGAATTTAAAGCCAGCCTGGGCTACATAGTGAGTTCAAGGTCAGTCTGAACAACACAAAAAGAGGCTGTCTCAAAAAATAAAACTTTCATACTGATAAAATTTTAATCTATAAATCATTAATAGGTTTAGCACTCTCCAGGTGACAACTAGATGAGAACCTTTCTACAGACAGCCGTTTAGCTATAAGAGGAGAGAGAGAAAACAGGTCTGTGATAGCATCCTGAGGAGCCCTGGGAACCCAGGAAAAGTCAGGAAAAAGAGAAAAGCACTAATACTACTTTCACCAAACTTTATTATCTCACTCGGGAGCTAGTTCTGTAAAAAGGAAGTGAAAAGCCAAGCCATCTGCAATCATTTGTAAAAAATACAAGAAACAAAATAGCTGATCTAGGTGACTGAGTCTACGAAGGCTGTTCATGGATAGATTCATCGGACCAGATTCGGTTTAAACTTCTTTCCATATGTTAATCTGCGTAAGTCAAGTTACTGATATCATCACCTCCTTCTAGGTGAGGAAACTGATAGTAAGTGACTCAGTCAAGGGCACACACTTAGTGAATAGCTAGGATCCCAGCCTTCTGACTGTGTCTGTGCTCTTAAATATTAAGCTACACTGTCTTTCCAGAATAATGCAGAACTACAGTAACAATTAAGGAAAGGAAGATACTTCCTGCAAACTCAAAAGTGTTTTTCCTACCGAAGTTCTAGTCACTGAAGCTTGGAGCTCAAAATTTGAAATGGATCTTGGAGTCAGGTTGCTGGAATTATGTGATAGCTTTGTTCGAACCTAGATACAAGAGCTTTTGATAAAACGGCTCAGCCCTCTGGAAGGTAAATTTGCTCTTGTTAACTTGATTCATTCCGACAACAGAAGAAAAAACAGGGAGAGTTGGGGTGGGGGGTTGGCCTGCGACGGGCTTTGAGGACGTCGAAGCCCTGGCTCTTACTGATCGTGCAATCTTGGGCAGATCTTTGACTGCCCTGGAGCTTCCTCAAAACCGGATCGTAACCATGTCCCACGCAAGCGGTGCTGCGAAAGCCCAAGGGAAATGCAGAAAGTCAGGCCTGGCTCCACCTTTGTCTTCATAATGGAAGATCAGAAGCCAATATCCGGCGGACGCTGGAGGCGTTACAGGACTGACAGCAGAATCCCCCGGAGGGGCGCTGGGGTTTTCCCCGACCCTCGCCCCTCCCTTCCCGGCGCTCACGCGGGTCTACGTACCAAGCGCCTCGGCCTCGTCACACTCACTCGCGCCCCTCCACCCACCGTTACCTCGGAGGCAGCAGCAGAATCGAGAGACGCTGCCACCGATTCCTCTCTGCCGCTAGCAGCAGCACAGACACTGCGGACGCCACTACCATATCCAGGGAACCCAGCCGCAGCAGGATGGAATGCTAAATCTCAAGTATGCAAAGGCTTTCCTCGGTTCCCAAGGCTATTGTCCTTCGGTGGACACCGTCCGATCCAACTGCTGGTGGGGGGGTGTCTCCATGAAAGCCAATCAAAGAACAGAGAAGGACTTAAGGGGCAATGATTGGCCGGTCGGGCCGCGTACCCACGGAGGTGTGGTCTCTTCCGGCCGCACCCCTCGGGCTCAGCGCGGACTTCCGGAGTTGTTCTGTACGCTCTCCTCTAGCTGGCGGAATCCTCTCCTTCCGTAACTTTTCTCGCAAGATCAGAGAAAAAGGCAAACGGAATGGAGTGTAAAATATGATTGTCGGCTGGTCCGAGTGCAGTGCTGTTTACAACTAATTGATCACAACCAGTTACAGATTTCTCTTCTCCACTCCCACTGCTTCACTTGACTAGCCTTAAATAAATAAATAAATAAATAAATAAAAATAAAATATGATTGTCTAGTGTCAAGAATGAAATAAAGTAGCAAAAACTACCGCTAAGCTGGGCGTGGAGGCGCCCAAAGTTTGAGGCCGGTCTTCCTCACAGAGTGTGTCCAAAGCCAGTCTGAAGTACGCAGCAAGACCTTGTCTCAAAAAAAAAAAAAAAAGTACCACTAAAAACCTATTGGAACAAAATCAAAATCAAAATTGCAGAGTATCTAGACAATGAAAAGATACAGTAAACACTGTGCTTATTTGATATAACCAAAACAGAGCTCATACGAAAAATCACAGTAAGTCAAATCATACAAAAATCACAGTATGTTTAAGGGTTAAAAAACACGAGGAACGCAGTTGGAAGACATTACTAGAGAAAAGGAATCAATGAATGGAGAAAAGTAATGTCGAAGGACTAATAAATCTAGGGGGCTTAAGAAAACAAAAAATGATCAATCAGAAATAAAAGGAAACTACGTAATAAAAAGAAATAAGGAAAATCATAGAGAAAACACATTATACATTTATAAGAAGTTACTTTTGCTCAACTTTAAGACACATATTTGAAGGCTCACTCGGAACCCTCCTGTCAGAATATGCACCCTCCAGTTACCTAAGCTGGAGATACATACATATATATATATCAAAATCAAAGATCACACACATGCACGCACACATACACACAGTTATAGCTCAGTGTGTTTTAGGAGTTATCAGTGGAAACATCCTAAATAAATATTAACTAAAACATCCAGTAGAACATGAAAAATATACTCTAACCAGGTAAGTGTTATTTCAGGAATCTAAGGTCATTTCAAAATTATGGAATTATTAATATAATTTTTTATAGTTCAGTTTGTGCCACTGAACTAATATTCAGCAGACAAGAAAATTTTATGTTCATAGACACTCAGTAGGTTTTTGACAAAGCCCAACATTTATTCTACATTTTATTTATTTATTGTGAGGGGATTGAGACAGGGTCTCACTGTGTAGCCCATACTGACCTTGAGTTCATGGCCATCCTCTTGCCTCAGCCTCCTGAGTACTGGGATTATAGGCATGCACCACTATGCTTGGTGTTTAGATTTTATTTTTTAATTAAGTTTATTGGTACATTTTATATATAAATAATGATCACATTCTCCATAGGAAGTTTGTACCCCTACATGATACATTTTGATTCCTCTTTTTTGCCCAATCCCCCTCCTCCCTTCAACCCATCTTCCTCTCCCTTTTATTCTTTATTTACTTATCCCTTCCTTCCTTTCCCCTTCCCCACCTTAGTTTCTCTTTCTTTTAAACAATTTCTTCCCATTTCACAATATCTGTTCTATTTTTTTGGTCCTTATTTATTCTTTCAGGTTTTCACACCAGGGAGACAATGTGAAGTTTATCCGTGTGAGTCTGATTAATTTCACTTAAGAGTATGGTTTCAAGTTACATCCATTTACCTAGAAATAGTTCACATTTATTCTTCTTTATGCTATAGTAGTAGTCCATTACATAGAAAACCACAACTTTTTTTATCCATTTCTCAATTGATGAGGATTTCAGTTGTTTCCAAGATTTAGCTATTATAAATTGTGCTGGTATAAACATGAGTGTGCATATATTGCTGTGGTCTGTTTTAAATTCTTCTGGGAAGACATCCAGAAGGGGAATAGCTGAGTGTAATAGGACCTCTAACCCTAGTTTTTTGAGGTATCACCACACTGATTTTCAAAGTGATTTCACCAGTCTCCCACCAACAGTGGAGAAGGGTTCCCCTTTCTCTACAGGCCTTCCAGCATTTGTTATTGCTTGATTTCTTGATGATAGCCCTTCTTTTGGGAGTGAGATGAAAACTCAGCATTGTTTTAATTTGCATCTCTCTGATAACCAGAGATGTTGAACTTTTTTTTCATATACTTATTTGCCATTTGTATTTCTTTACCTCAGAAGTGCATATCCGGGGGCTGGGGATTTAGCTCAGTGGCATAAGCGCCTGCCTTGCAAGCAGGCAGTCCCAAGTTTGATCCCTGGTACCGATAAAAAACAAAAAAGACAAAAAAAAAAGTGCATATTCATCTCAGAGGCCCATTTTTGGACTGGGTCTTTGAATTTGGGAGGTCTGATTTTTTTTAGTTCTTTGTATGTTCTAGATATGAGCCCTTTGTGTGAATGACAACTGGCTGTAATTTTTTTCCCACTCTGTGGGTTGTCTTTCCACTCTGTTGATTTCTTTTGTTGTGAAAAAGCTTTTTAATAGGGTGAGATTCCAATTATTTATTATTTCCTGTGAGATCAGGGTTTTGTTCATGAAATCTTTCCCTATGCCTATGTTTTCAAGAGTTTTGCCTGTTCTCTCTTCCAGAAGATTGTGTTTGTCTTAATTTTTAGACCATTTCAATTTTAGTTTAGTGCATGGTGATAGACATGGGTCTAATTTTTAGTCTTTGGTATGTGCAAAAGCAAGTTTTCCAGCACCATTTATTAAAGAGGTATTTGTTTTTGCGTCTTTCTTGCAGTGAACATGTTTTGGGTCCCTTGTCACAGATAAGGTGACTAAGTGTGTTTGCAGTTGTTTCTGAATCTTTTAATCTACTCCATTGATCCTCAGGTCTTTTTTTTTTTTTTTTTTTTTTTTTTGTCTTTTTCCTTTTTTATCGGTACCAGGGATCGAACTCACGACTGCCTGCTTGCAAGGCAGGTGCTTATGCCGCTGAGCTAAATCCCCAGCCCCTCATGCTATTCTTATCACAGTAGCTTTGTAATATAATTTCAAGTCAGGCATTCTGGTGCCCCTTGTCTTGCCTTTATTGCTGAGGATTGCTTTTGCTATTCTACATATCTTCTGGTTTCAACTGAATTTTAGGAATGTTTTCTCTAGTTTGTGAAGTAGGATAATGTTACTTTGATTGGGGTTGCATTAACTCTGTATAACAATTTTGAAAGTATTTGTACTATATTTGGTCTGTTTATCCATGAGCAAGGGATATCTTTCCATTTTCTGATATCCTCTTCAAAATCTTTTTTTTTTCAAAGTACTGTGATTTTCAGCATAGAGGTTTTTTACTTCCCTTGTTAGCATGATTCCTAATTATTTCATTTCGGGGCTGGGTGTGGTTTCCCTAATTTCTCTGGGTTTTTTTTTTTTTTTTCTTTTCTTTTCTTTTCTTTTCTTTCTTTTCTTTTTTTTTTTTTTTTTTTTTTTTTTTTTTTTTGTCTCTTTGAGACAAGGTCTCACTATTCATTCAGGATGGCCTTGAGCTCACCTTATAGCCCAGGCTGGTCTCAACCTTGCAATGATCCTCCTGCCTCAGCCTCCTGAGTCCTGGGATTACAGGCCTGAGTCACCATGCCTGGCGTCTCAGTGAGTTTTTTGTTTGTGTACAGGAAGGCTATTGGTTTTTTTGTGTTGATTTCAAATCCAACTACACTACTGAATTTGGTTGTTAAATGTAAGTTTTTTGGTGGAGATTTTGTGGTCTTCTGTGTAGAGTATCAAATTATCTGCAAACAATGGTAAGTTAACTTCTTTTTTTTCCTCTCCTTCTTCCTCTTATTTCTCATGTCTAATTTCTCTGGCTCATGTTTCCAGAACTATACCGAATAGGAGTGGTGTTAGTGAACACCCTTGCCTTGTTGCACATTTTAGAGTGAAAGCTTTCAGTTTTTGACCATTTAGTATGATGTTGGCCATTGGTTTGTCATAGATGGCTTTTATCAGATTGAAGTAAAGACCTCCTATTCCATTTTTCTGTAGGGGTTTTATCATGATTCGATGTTGGATTCTGTCAAATATTTTTCTGCATCTATTGAGATGATCATGTATTTTTTGTCTTTGCCTCTGTTAATATGATGTATTACATTTACTGATTTACATATGTTGAATCATCCCTGGGATGAATCCTATTTGGTCATGGTGTGCAATCTTTTTAGGATTTGCTTCATTCTGTTTGCCAGTATCTTATTAAAGATTTTGCATTATTGTTCATTAGGGAGATTGGTCTGTAGTTTTCTTTTTTAGCTGGGTCCTTGTCTAGCTTATCTATCAGAGTAATGCTTCCAGGAATGATTTTGGAAGTATTTGTTCACTT